CTGTAGAATATAGCGAACTTTCTTCTCCAACTCGATGTGATGAGTTTCAAGTGTCACGTGCTTCAAATCTTTGTAAATAAAGTAAAAACATGGATATATTTGCAAAATATATCCAAAAAAATATAGTTTCTTCCGTGATAACATTTGGACCAAACTTGAGGATGAAAAGTTTTTGACATACCTCCTCCTTGCTCATCTCTACTTTGTCAGGATCTTTCTTCACTATTGGTCTAAGAAGCAAGTCTATGGCAACAACCACTTGAACTTGTACGTCATTAGAAGAATCATTTGATGACTTCTCTTGATCAAAAGTTGACATATGAATGTTAACTTTTGAAAAACTGCCACTCACCTCGCTCTCAAATTTCCCATATTTATCAATTGATCTATTTGAGTCAATTGTGGAATTTTTTCTTCCTATCAAAGGAATCTTCACCCAATGGTTCTTTTGACCTATACGCACGTAGTCCTTGTGTCATCGATAAGTGATCCTCACTGCCCTCAACCAAGAACATCCCAACAGCAAATTGTAATTAGCTTCCTTAAGCACGTGGAAAGAAAGCAAGGTTTGAACTACCCTCACACTCATCACAACTTTGTCAATCACACCAAAGTAGTCTTAACTTTTGTTTGTTGGATATACCAACAATACTACTAGAATGTTTGGAAAGTCACATCCCCCATTTTCTCAACAATCTTTTAGACATTGCATTCACATGAAAATCACCATCTGCCAGCACGTCCGATACATCATGTCCATCGATCCTCACTTTGATCTTGACATGTGTACATACCTCTGAAGTAGCAGCATTCACCACACCAACTCACACATTTGTCATGTGAGACTTTGACTTGGATTTTTGCTTCTAGGTTCTTGTTAACCTAAGATCTTCTTTCAACTCTTTTTGTATGGTTAGATTCAAAGCAATCAGTTGACCAATTTTTCTTTTGGCCTTCTGACTTCATGTATCTTCTACCACGTCATGCATAGTTTGAGAAGATCAAAAGAAAAATGTATTCGTGTCCAACTTCTTTTTTGGTACTCTTGGTTGACTCAGTCCACTTGACCGTGTACTTTTACTTTGCATGTACTCCATGGAAATTGACTCATTCACAAATTGAGCACATTTTTTCTCATGTGCAAGAATATTCACCTCTGATTTTGAAATCTATCTTTTCTCATAAGTGCATTGATTAGAAAATACATCAATGGATGACACTCCCTTATACTTTGCTTGTTGTGTGGTTAATGCGTTGTTGTTGTGCCGAACTTCATCATGTTGTCAAGGGTTAGGACAATTTTGCTGAAATGTGGACCGCCACAAGTAAAACAAAAAATTGTAAAGTTCTCTAAATTTACTCTCAAAATATAATTTTCATACCCCTAGAGTATACCCCTACATATTTAATTCCTCTATTCCCAAAACTATACTACATTGATCTTGATGTCAGCTAGAGTCTCCGTGATAGATTTTAACTCATGTTGCAAATCTACGTTGGAAGTTGTAATTGTGGAATAACTAGCAAGATTTGGAATAGTGAATCTTATTACAACAAGTGGAGAGTTAATTCTCTAGCCACCAAACTAGAATAATTATCTTTTAAACTTTTTTCATTTCTAAAAGCAATTTGAATGGCTTCAACCGTAGAAGAAGGTTCTTCATATCTCACCTTATTTTGAATCTTTGGTTCAACCCTCCAACAAAATTCTTTGTGAACATCATTCTTATCCCCATCATTGTAGAATCCGCCTTGTCTCCACCTTTCCTTAACACTACGTGAAATCTTGACTCCAACTTCTCAATTCTCTCCACATAAGATCTCATCTTCTCATTTTCACTTTTTTTCAAGAAGATGACTTCTTACATCAATTTTTTGTAACTTACAATAGGAAGAAAATCTTCAATTAGGTTTTTTAGTCATCGTATCCCAAGTGTCCTCCTCCAGCTGCTCACTCTTGTACTCTTTGTACTATTTGAGAGTTGTATACTCCAAAAAATCTAACAAATACATAGTCCACTCATCTTTCTTCCTCTCATTGTTTTTTATGCAAGCTCTCTTGAAGTGCCTCACAAAATATTCTAAATCTTCACATCCCCTCCCATGAAACATCGGAAGTTTCTCCATTTTTAACTAATTTCTTATTTTTTATTTTTTATATTGGAAATTTATATGAAACTTCTTAATACAACACAAATAACACTAATTTCATCCTTGAAGAAGTCATGAAAGTAAACACAAAAAGAAATGATTCGTCCAATAGTCATTTCTCTCCTTCGCTAAATACACAATGAGTTTTACCTTGATCATCATCTTCTCCATTATCTGAATGATGATCTTCATTTTCAGTTGGAGCTTGAATCAGTCGAGGTCAAACTCTCCGTCTTCGCACTACACTTGCCATCAAGATCTTCCACAAGTGATTTGAAGACTGTCTTCACTCCGTAGCATTCGATAGTTCACAATTCCACTATAAAATTCACTCCACAATTCTCATTGTAGATTATATTTTGATATTCATGTGGTGATGATGGTTTCCAATGAAATTTCAATTCCTCTAAGTTTTACTATCTCTTCAACCTCCTATCCTTGTTCCGCAAGGAACAATTTATCACTTTATGTCACTCCTCTCCACAACAAAAGCAAGTCTCGCGTTTCTCTCTTGAAGATTGACTTAGTATTCTCTTTTCAAACTCCACTTTAAATTCTCTTGCGTTTGAGTTTAGGAAGACTATAACGTCTAAGCTTTGAGTTACTTTGGATAACCTAATTTTTCAACTCATTTTTTCCATTCATTTTTCCATAAGATGAAAACACTCAAAAAGATCTTTACCAAAAACTCTCCCTACATGACAAAAACTACAAATAAAAAAACCCAAAAAGTTTGATCTCCTTTTTTTTGTTTTGTACCCCCTAAATTTCAAAACAAAATAACCTGTTCTCTAGACGTGACCTCTTAATGAAATTTTGGTTGACACATAGATTTTCTTCCAATACAAAATTATATAAAGTTTTGAAATCTAATTTCAAATACAAAAAAAGTAATCAACTCTATTCAAACTTTACTTTGGTACATATGAAAACCACTTTAACTTCCAACATTCATAACTTCCTATATACATATGATCTAGGCATAAAACAAAAACTCAAACATACGTCATCTTCCACTCTACCATCTATATAAACTTTGAGGAATACTTTCAAAATATCTTTTTCGGCCCTTAAGACCACTTTTATCTCCACAGGTGAACAAAACATACAAAATCACTTCTAGCGTATTGCATGAGACTACTGGATAAAAAAACGATACTTCACTCTCAAGCATGATATCAACTCTTTCATTCCCCAGTTCTAACTCCAAGTAACCTCACATGAACATTTTTCCTCGAACTAAAAACCGAATACTAAACATTTCGTCCTCTAGATTGATATATCAATAACAAAACTAAAAATATAAACTCCGAGCTGATTCTCACTCAAGTTTAACTTACATGATTTGGTGGTAATTCATCAAGATTTTAAAAGTCTAGAATTCCTCCTCATACTTATGTCCCAAACACCCTCTCACACATTTATTATTATAAATTAGATAACTAAATCTTCATCTACCTCACAAATTAAAATATACTTGCAATTTTTTTCACATTAATATTACTGATTATTAATTTTATATTGTAATCTTGTAAACTTAAAAATTATCAATGACTACAAAAAAAAACATTGAAAGGAATACAAGTAACATTTTTATGGATTTCTAAATAAAAAATTTTAACCTTCTAACAAAAGCTTATGATAAGAATCCATAGCATTTTCAATATTGCATAATTGTGAATCGTGTAATAAAATATCTATTGCAATTATGAGTCATAACTTTACTTTGTTTGTGGAAAGTAAAGTCAAAAAGTTGGATTTACTTTTAATTTCTTAAAAAAATGTAATGAACAGCTTTTCCATAAAAAAACACTTAAGTATAGATTATAAATTACTATGTCAACATGATTTTGGAATATGACACAGTAAATAATTTCTAAATATAATTTTTTAGTAAGCAAGATTAAAGTTCTAAAGTATGGATGTGATCGATTGGACTAGCCACAAATAAAAATAAATTTTATCGTAAATTGAGATCATTTGACTACATTTTATAATTAATATATTTATTTATATTTATTTATTTACAATATTTGGATGACTCACTCTTTCCATAACCTTCAATTATCATATTTATATTTACTTGATAAGTAAATTATATCAACTTTAAAAAGTCATATTTCTCGTTATTCTTACTCAATCTATATAGTTACCCATGATTCTCATTTATTACTTTATTTTTACACGTTAATTTTGAACCAAATATTCTTGCAACACTTATATCCACATAAAATTTGATTGAATTTGATAAACCTAAAAAATTCAAGATTTTGTTTGCCCCCGGCATCAAGATAATATCATGTTATACTTCTCTGATTTGCTCGATCATTTGATATATGACGTGTGCAAGTCACGTGACCTTGGCCGCGTCATCGCTTCCACTCATGCTTGTACACTAAATGTATACACAGAGCATGTACTTGCAACTATCCCGCAAACGAAGATGAGTGGAGACGTTTCTGTGTACGCGTCTTCTATTAAACAATCAAAGAAGGATAACAACCAACCTGATATGTGAGCCTAGAGGCTAACATTTTGCAAAAATTTAAGATAAATGTATTACAAATATGTTACAACTCATATACATACTGAAATTCTAAATATCTTTAGTTATCCTACCCAATGGTTTCTGCACAAAGAGGGAATATGTGGCCGAAAAGAAATAAATAGATTCTTGAAACTTATATGCGCTCAAGAATTTGAATCACTTTCAGGCACTAAAAGTGACTACACATGAACTTTAGATTCTGAAACATTTCTAAGTTTATTTCTTACTTCAATATATATATTCTCAATATCTATAATATCTATACTCTAAGCATGAAGTAAGTTTCAAATTTCAGAATTGAAAATCTACATTGATACAAACACAAATACTTACGGAACGAAGCAAAAGTGAACTTATGGACTAGAAAGTCCACTTGCACTGCTCTACAGGGTGGGTAGCCCGACAAAGAGAAGAAATGACAACCTCAATGAACATGAACATGATAGTTTACATACCTGGAGTAAAGGTGGCACACAGTATTTGCATGTTCGGAATTGCTCTCTTTTTCAAAGCTTTTATTATGAGACCGAATTTCGTGCACAAGGTCGATACAAGAGTTGCGGTCACATGATTGAAAGTCCTTTTTCGTAACAAAACGAAACCCCCTCCATGGATAATCAGAATGGACAGCTGTGGGGAGTTCGAGCAACTGTAGAGGATCCTGTTAGCTCATGACAGAATTGTCCCAGACAGACCAAGATCTCAAGTCACCTTGGTACCGTAGTGACAGCGGAAACATTCTTTCCCATTCCCTCAAACTTTCACACGCTCATATCAGTTGTGTTACATCGAAGAGAGAGACATAGCACATACTGCGTATGACAAGGCTGTTACAGTACTCCAAGGTTTCAAACGATGGATTTCATTTGTTTAGTACGGTATTTGAGTTGACCAGGTTTAAACACCGTTGCAAGTTGCGGACAGTTATGTGAATGCAATACAGTAGAGTGAGGTAGGCATGCCCTGGGATAAAAGTATCCCTGATTTGGCGTACTTTTATTTTTACAATGGGGACTAAACAACTTTTGCTGAGTATCCGTCACATAAGAGCCAATTGCAACAAGCATCACAGGGAAGGGATGGCTACAATTCTTGCACCAAATTAGGAAGTCAGAAACAAATGCACCCTCTGAATAGTTCGTCCGGTAACATTCATCACTAAGTCCAAATTTTCTCTGAACTTGGAGTGAAAGTAGCTCTGCATGCGGACAAACTCATGCAAGTTGCATACATGCTAGCCATGGCTGCAATTCAACGATCTTCCCGCACAAGGGACAAACCAAGACAAGCCAGCCAAATGTGATTAAGGTTCGTTCTGGTCGATCGCAGCACTTGATTCCCTTTCTGTCAATACTAGACATCCTACAGTTCTGGTCTACTATCAAGACTTGAACATTATAGATTGCCAAGTTGCGGACAGTGATAGCCACATATCTATATATTCCTTTCCCACTATCTATATCAGGTAGATGCACCCCAAACAAAACCAGATTCGCCGCTGACATACGCTCATCATGCAGTCAAGGCTCTATAAACTGACTACAGTTGATTGGTTTGACCTGGTCTATATGCTGCCCGTTTTTTGACTCACAGTCAATCAGAATCGGACTCCATAGTCTATTTTCAAGAAGAGTGCAAGGCCAATCAAGAATTGGGGAAAAAATTTCAGTAGAGTCCTAAAGCAACCCCGTGAGAACAATTGGGTCAACGGTTATCACCAACTCTGTCCGAAGGTCGATGATGGAAAATCGTTCCACCGGACAAGCTTCTGGTACGTTTTCCTTGACATCAATGCTCCTCAATACGCTGATAGATTGCGCAGTAAGTTAACTAATCTACAAGAAGCAAGTCAAGTAGAAAATCCAGAGGTATTAAGTTTTGCTGATGGATAATTCTTCCAGCATCCTCCGACCTTGGAGGGGTAAGCGTTGTAGCACCCAAAGCTTCAGAACGTGTAAAAAGCGGTGGGACAGGCGTGATATCGGCCTCGAGAGGTTATCTCCGTGAAGAGGGCGTTTGGGCTGGATATTGGATCGGTCTTCTGACTGCTGTAACCTTGGAAGGCTAAATTGTTATGGCACCGCTTTAGAACATTCATGGGGTAGGTGAGATTTTGGCCAAGAAAGGGTAGCTCTGTGATATAGATATGACAGTCTTGCTCAGCCATCCACCACAAGCATGCCCATGCATTGCAAGGAGTATCAGGAGTTCAGCGTCTTTTTCAGTGTCTCCTAGCTGAAGGGAAAAATGAATGGCTTCAGGGACACCTTCAATCAGAAATCTAGATGTAGTCTCTGGTATCGATATGCAGTACAAAACTGCGTTTGTTTTTTCCTTGTCTGAATCAGTGTTCTTTAGGTGTACACACAAAACGGATTCTATATAGTTCTAATAGTATTGAGCGTTATGAACCACTGCACTACAACCAATAGCAATGATATCCCTAAGGTTCGGGTTGCTCGACAAAAGAGACCAGAATTTAGCAAACTCTCGATGAACAATATTCTGGCTTAACTACACGTCGGATCTTTTACCATCCGCTCGCCATTGGAGACGTAGTGACCACTACCTTCATTGCTCCTTCCTATGACGTATCACGTCAAAGGATGAATACAGTAGCTCGGAACAAAACCAAACGGTACAGCATCTCAGAATTGATTAAGTCAGGATGACATGCAGCGATGATTGACTAGACATGCTAAGGCTACATAAGAGCGCTTAGCCTATCAACTGAAGCTGTAATTCAGGAGAGAAGAAAACCATGTCCAGTGTTGTCGTTGAAAGTTGGTCTACGATATCCAGAACCCAGTCTCAATCCACATTAGTGTCACCAGACACTGGAACAATGCTAGTCGTGCCGCTAGAACGTCCATCATTCGTACGCCTCGTCCTCTGCCATACAAGTCATGTGATCAGTTTTTCAAACGACGCGAGCACCACTGATCAAGCTCTCAAACATTCTTAAAGAAGCGATGGGCATAGGCTCACACGTAACTGCTTGGAAGCAGCCAGGTCCATCTCACCAGTGAAAATGCGATCCCGAATTGCACGTGTACTCGAAACACTGTGACGAGCCCAGTTCCTATGTTATTACTTGTGACCGAAACTAAGCTAATGTTCTGAGATTAGTCGTCATTCATTAGCAGTGCACTACAGCAATCAAGGATGTATGCGCTTCGTTCGTGCCTTCATCCACTTACTATCAAAATACACTGGAGCTGAGTAACCGTCCGAGAAGTTATCGATACTATAGACCCCGCAGCCTCTGCACACAATGTTCTCCCTCCATCAAGGTCTTCGTTATTTCAGTCTTGGGTCTTGCCAGGAACGTCGGTCAGCGGGGACCGCGGCGCTCATGGATGTAAGGCTTGAACACGTCTTTCTAGTGATTTCTCATAGAACGTGTGCGTTAAAACGAAGAGTCCCTGAGTTAAGTCGAAATTTGAATTCAAATTCAAGTGAGTACAAAGTTAACGAGAGTCCCGGGTGGAGCGTCCAACGTCAACGTTATGTAAGAGATATATATCAAACCAAGATAGGAAACCGCCATCAAGCGGCAAAAGCGCCGAACTCGTACCGGTTGCGACGATGTTAGAAACGACGACGAACGTCCCTGGCAACGTGTTGATAAGATTTCTGGCCGAGCTACCGCGCTGACAACGGGGTTCTCAGATCCCAGACGAGGGTTAGTGCCGCCGACAGCTTGCGGTGCAGGTTCCATGGCACATTAAGAAGTTTGACTGCCTGGAATTTGTGTGAATGGTGTGGTGTGCCAGCGTTTGCAGGATGATGCGCCAATCTGGCTATCATTCGCTGGGGCGATCCAGGCGCTGTAACGGATATTGCTGGTGGCGCGGTTAAAGGTGATCAGCCTGGCTGTGATCTACTCACCGCATCTGCACTGTGCCATGTTGGCCGATTTGCTCTGGCATGATTCAAACCCTGGAGGCCCCTTTCTTCTTCCGGCTTTCAGATAAATATAGTATGTTTTGGACATTCGTCGAGAGCATCGTGTAGGGAGCATGCGTTCTGATTCCCTCACACCGGCCATTTCGAGCATAATGATGATTTGGTCGCTGTCGGCCAGTTGCAGTTTCGGCCTGCGGTGCTCCCAGTTAAATTTGAACAATTCCGTACTTTGCACAGTGACTGTTCGCCTTTACTTTACCGTGCACGGTGATAGAGTAGGCTTGACGGGCACCTTCAAGACACCTGTTCACGTTTGTTTTTTCTCACCTCGACGCCTTGCACGCTTGTACCACCTTCGTCCTCAGAATTTGAAACGGGCGACTACCCGCTCCTACCATTTTCTCATGAGACGTACACATTCTGCTCGTAACTTTAGCACTGCCACATCGTACGATTCAGAAGAGCTTCGCACATCTTCACATGCTTGCTTTTTCTATGTGGTAGACTTAGAATGGACCGACGGTTCGGTCTTATCACTAATTGCGTAGGGTCTACGTTGGGGGCACCCGATATGCATCATTCCTTGTCATACACCAGCTGTAATTGCACAAAAGTTTGTACCTTCGTATAAAGATTGGGTAAAAGACAACTAGAAAGGTTCGGTCATGGCATTACACATTTCCTTTTCTACAGAAACCGGTAGAAAAGAAACATGAATCTGCCTCAAGTTCACCAGACCTACATATATCTGTGTAGAGGAGAAATGCTTAAGACTCCGCCTATTTCTACTGATGATTGGAAAAACACCGAATCACATCGGCTCATGTATATGTTCTTGCTCTGTCAATCCAGGCTTTTGAAACTGGCAGCTTAGAATATGTCTGAATATTGAAATTCATCAGCATGAGAATCTGCAATTTTGAAAATTTCTCTGCGTCGTACTGGCTGCACCGACCTTAACACTTCTGTTTGCTATACCTCCTTGCCTATAAACAATGACAAGCATAATCAGAAACCACTTTAGTTGTCTATAGCAAGTGTAAGGTAACAGGAAGCTATATGAGAGAAGACCTACGCTGAAGATAACGGCCATTACTGACCAAGGCAAAACTGCTTGGGCCATGATAACGAAAGGAAGGTAGCACTCAGACGCGACACTAAGAACCAAAGGGAAACTCACATCTCCCGTTTCCATTTTAACACAATGCAGAGTCTTGGAAGAGGGGGAGGGGGGTGGGGGGGCGGCCCACACATGTGATTGGAACGAAAAACTAACAGTATAATCGACTTGAAAATTTGAGCTTTATAATCCATCAAACGGTAGAAGTGAATGCCGTCGGAAATCAATGACAATATTCTCTTCCATTTAATCACGGACTTACAAAGTAGATAGAATGAATATCAACCTGGAGCCGTGTTTGATACCTAATGTTGCAACATCCACTCAGATGGGCGGCTGGTTGCTTCATTCTCAGGCCCTGAATTCTGATGAGCGGGCCCTCTCGACCTGCTCGAACTTTGAGCGAACAACCTGAATCCATGAAAGCTCAGACAATGAATTCTCAGTTTTCTGATTAATTGCGGAAAAACGTGTGTCTTTATTTCAAGCCCGGCGAAACAAAGGTAAAAAAAATCTCTTCTCTAGCTAAAATATAAATGCGACAGTCGATCACTAGATATCTACCTGAGCTCTAACTATCAGTGCAATTACATCACTTCAGCATATACAGTGGAGCTCCAGTTGAAGGTAGATGGGAAACAGGATACCCTAGTTGTAGAGATGGTTGTGATGTGGGCTGAGGATCTCGTAGATTAGGCTGGAGTGGATAAACTTGAGGCACTGATTGTGTTGCAGCCGATTCGGACCTGGCATTGGGACTTTGCAGGTTGGAACCTAGGCCTGGCACGCCTCTTGCTGCTGCGTCTGCTATTCCCTTTGCGTCTACAAGCTACAGACAAAGTGAACTCAATGTATTGAGTAAACAAACGAGCAACTTAATAGAGCAAAAATAAGATGCTTAGTTGACGCGCCACGAATCATGAATATGAGCTTTTCAAAAAATCATAGAAAAACGATCACTTTTTTATGATCTTCAACGCTGCACAAAGTTCTGAACATAAAGCAAAGTTTTGAGTGTTAGTAACCAGATGAGGCCAGATGTCTACCTTTCTGCGGAGCTCCTCGTTTTCTTCATGAAGTTTATGTTCCTGGAAAAACGAATTGCCATTTAGTTGCCCCGTCCCCAAAGCCCAGGTAAAATCTTTACAAGACAATTAAGTACATGTGCAACACAGAAGTAAAAGAATCAACCTAAAGTTGTCACAAAAGTTCCTAGAGATATGACTCTTCTGGAAATGAACTTTAAGTAAATAAGAAAAAAATAGATGCCAGAAAATGCTCGGAAGAGTACAAGTCAGCACAGAATTTACTGTATTTGCTCCTACGTTATTACATGTGCACATGCTACTCAATTTACGGCAATTGCGAACTTACAAATACCTTACGCCGCAGTTCCTCTATTTCCTCAAGCAAGAGTTGGCTCTGAGGCAGACAAAAGATGAGTATGTAAGTAAAATGTGATCATGACTTGTAAGTGGTCGAGGAGACTACCCAAAAGAAGTTCTGAAAAATGTTTATTTATAGTTAGGGGCAGTCTCAACACTTCGAATTAAAAGTCTGTTCATTCGCAAGAACAGGGTACCATGCTCAAGCCAGCAACAGTGGAGAATCAAAAATCTCAACTGCTTAACTCAAACCGATGTTGTGTTCATGCAAAATTTCATGTTAATTTGGTGTCAATTGTAGAATATTCACTGATTGTAGAACGAGTGTTGAAATGTAAATATGAAGAATACTAGTGCTAGCACTTCAGATTGATTGAACAGCTCCACAGTTGACATGACAAGAAGTCAGTAGAAAAGGCTGTAACCGTGAAGCTCATAGCAAAGCAATGTACCTTCCTTTGGCGAACCCGACTCACACCTACATCAAGTTGCTGCTCGAGCTGGAGCAAATCAGGTACACTCAAAACTGTTAGGTCTTCACCCAACATGTGCCTGCACGTAGTAAATGTTCCTTGAATCAGTATCCGTATATCTGCTTCAAAATCTGCAGGGGTCGCGAACGTGCATGACTGTTTGATCTTTAGTCCTTACCTTTCACAGGAATGTATCGGCATGGTGCTTATTTTAGAGCCAGCTTACATATCCCCCTAACATGAATCGTACACTGAGGAATGAGTTGTCCAAGAACAGAAGACAACTTTAAACTCTACTTTCGTGAGGCAAAGAAAACTCGAAGTATGTTTGCACCTCTGAGTATGCTGAGAGTGCTCCAACTGCTGTCGCAACTTCATCACTTCCCGACTCATGTACTGCTACACAAAACAGTGCGTAAGTTTTTCCTTCTCAAACCTCAAAATCTTTACACGTTAAGGTAGTGTGGAACCAGGTAAAAGATATATGCTTCTAGCAGCACTTAGTGTATACCTATAAACTCGTCTAACACGCAAATGATGGCATAAAAAAACTCAAATGGCTCCACAACAGAACCACTGAGAAGTTTCCGAACCGAACTATTCGTGTTTCGCTTGTTGAGAGCATGTGCATCCCAAGAAAGAATATGACGTGTGGATGTGAGACATCAGACTTAGGTTCGGAATTAAGGTTCTACGAATTCTCATTTCCTATCAAAATCGAAGTCCAACTAATCCTTATCGTAGATGCGACAACCCGGTGACATTCGCTTCCAGCAGTGTTTGCAAAAACTACTCCCTTAGCCTACAGGTGGAAAAAACTATTCTGGGACTCGACAATTTATTAAAACTAATTGGGAGAATGGCCTATATTCCTATACATCATCACGAGCGCAACGGACGTATAGAGTTGGAAAACATACGTCGTTGTTGTCTCCCATTCTCCCTGCCTGGATCCCATCTGGATTCTTGCTGTATCTTTCAAGAATCTCCTTCATTCTAGCTATCACAAAATCCGTCAAGTTACAACAAACGCGTCAGGAGAATATGTCAGCGCAGCAGAAATTTTTTGGCCATGCCTGAATTGTAAAAGCATACGTACTAGGACTTGGCCACATAAGACAGCCATGGTAAGATACTATATGACCTAAGTGAAACTGCCCACGTCAGGAACCTCCTTTCGCGATCTGTATGATTACGTGTTATACTAATCATGAGTAAAGCGCATCATAATCGTCGGCAGCAAGTCTTCTTCGCGCGATGATGGGAGAACTCGGAGAGCAGGGATGTAGATTGCCGACTCAGTCTCTTAAGTTCTGCATGCTGTCCTCTTCAATAATTGTCCTAATTGATTCCCGTCATCGACTGTTCAAATGACGGAAATTTGACGGAGTCGCTCCACGAGACGGAAAGACCTATTATATCAAGTCTGCTTGTAATTTAATTTCCATCTTAGTGGAAGACATTCAATACACGCTCGGCGAAAGTCCCCACTCAATCCCAAAAAAGAGTTGGGCGACCAGGACAGCGATCGAGGTCAAGGGGAACGCTATTCTGGGCAACTCTTCTCAAACGACCTCCTTTTCTCGCGTGCAATATGTCAAAGATGGTGACGTAATCTGCTACCAATTCAGAGAGAGTTAATCCACCATGTCAGACGACCCACAGAAAGATCGCTTCGCCTAGAATTATTCGCTGAACAATTTCGAGGCAGGCGGTAAGTTCAACCTCTTGAAGCCTCTCGTTTGGTGACCAGCATCTACAGATATTTAATTTCCCCTGTAAGTTACCTTCCCAACAGTTCCTGTTACAAAACCATTGTTTACACCAAATACATCATCTTCGACGGTTCCTGTCACGTTTCCATTGTTCTCTCAGCCGAACACTAGCATATCCGGCACATGCAGTGGCGGGAAATCAAAAGCTGCGTCCGACGGGAAGGGTACTCAGGGTCGATGGGTGATGGGATTCATCCACCTGGGATACTCACTCAGCCCTTCATTAATGTATCTACGAGGCTGCAGGAGCTTTAACGATCTCTATAACCTTCTGCTTTACTCCATAACAATGGCGCTTCATGACATACGGGTAATCGCCTGACGATTACCATGGTGTCTTGAAGAGCAAAACCTTACCTAAAACGTCGTCTCTAAACCTCTGGAGCGCCCCTTCTCACTACCATATGACGTAGAATGACATAACTGTGACCTACGCATTTGCACCTCCAACCTCCCAGAAGGTACGTTTTGACCGTATCTAGATGTACAGCAGAAAACGTCGACTGTACTTGAAGGCGAATTTGCTCACCAACTTCCTCGCTATATTAACCCTAGTTACCACGCTCGTGGGTACTGAAAGAGTCATCCTCACGTTCCTCACGCGAAATCCGAACGAATTCGTACTGGGCAAAGTCCGCATATATTGGATATTACAATGAGAGTCGCAGTTAACTGCTAAATTCAAGACTGGAGAGTACAAACACATGCCCAGAGGCCGAGAACTCGACTAACGGATTACGTTACTGGTCAATAGCGGGAAGTCCTTTAGAGGAAGGACATTCCACAAGTCCAACACGCCGTAAAAATCCTCTTGGTACCGCGCGGTTTCATTGACTGAAAGTACCGGATCGATTAAGATACGTGTAGAGGTACTAGACGGTCGTGAGGGACCGCCACGACTAACTTATACTTGATCGGGCAGATCAAATCCACGACTCTCACAATCTCATCGCCCCGAGTGCACAAATGCTTCTGCCCTCCACTGAAAATTGGCGGCAGGATGCAAGTTCGTGACAGTAACACCAGGAAAATCGACACTGCACTTGCTCCCCAAAACTGAATGCAGGTTGTGGATGACGATCCTGATCGCTGTTCGGCTAAGCCTTTGACTTGGATTCAATTTTCAACCATTGCAGTGCTCCGTGCACTGCGTCATAGAACCTCATGCGCGATGATCTAATCAACTCCCAATAACCTGACTTAAGCTCGAGTGTTGTATTGAACGAAGCAGTGACCGACTGGTGTGCAGTGTCTTTTCCCAGCCACTTCAAGACGAGACTCGCACGTAATGTTTAGACCTCAAAGAGACCCAAAGCGCCGGAGGTAACCAACATCTTCCAACTGCCATCGATTTGCGAAATCGTAATGATGGGTAGGTATACCCTGCCGGCATGCCTCGTGGAGAGCTTCAGATCCTATGAATTAATAAGACTGCCCAAAAGATCTTGACATAGTGCTCGTCCGGAGCTCCTAGCTAAATTGAGTAGTCTCAGGGCCCCACCCTTCGGCGGCAAGAGATCCCTCCAACACATGGGCTAATTGCGCACCTACTGGCTGCATTTTCGTTAGCTCGAGAACTACTCGAGTACCATGTACGAACCTACCTCCAATGACTCAGTTCGTGGACTGACCCAGATATCAGAATAAGACGGCGAGGGAAAAACAATGAAGAGTGGTAAATGACAGATTCATAAGAACTCTAGAACACTGCGCTCATCGACAAGATCAAGGAAGCAAATTTACATACCCTCCATTGCTTGAGAATTCAAAGAGCTTTCCCGTGCTGGAGAAGATTATAACTGCTATTTCTGCATCGCACAGCACTGAAAGCTCATGGGCCTTCTTCATCAGGCCCCCACGTCGCTTAGAAAACGTGACCTGCCTGCTAGTAGGATTCTCTATTTTCTTAATTTCTATTTTTCCGCGCCCCATTGGATCCTTTCCAATCTGTGGCGTCGTTTTTAACCCTTACAAAAGAACCTGTCTCGCTTACGTCCCCGCACTTCTCCCAGCTGTCTCTGCTCTTGCAAGCGCTTATCGTCCTCTGCTTCAGTGCTGGAAAGTCCTCAATCGTGCGCAACTCAGCTCGTGCCTCTCTGATAACGCGATGAAACTCTAGGTCTCCACAATGATGAGGGGTGAGGCACACTCGTCCAAGACTCAAACGACGCACCGACGCACTGAACGCACGTGATGCGTAGGAGCATTACACTCAATCTCGCACTGGCAACACAAGACGCGGAATGTCATATACCTTCATTTCCAAGGTTCTCAGCAGCCTTCAGTATGATACACGAATCTAGATCTGTCGCGGCTTCAGTAGAACATGTTCGTGAAACACGCGCACGAAATTTGGTGACCTGATTTGCAGCTCAACAGTGTGCAGAAAATACACAATGGGCCAAGTTTCGGCGAGTCTGTGACGATAAGAGTGCAATTCGTATAGCAGGTGAGGCACCAAATGCAGATTTCAAGCACACAAGCTTGCAAAAGTTGCCAAAGTCGAAAATAGAAGCATATCTCGAGAAACGCGCAAAGATCCTACAAATACTGCATCCTGCTCGAAGGCGGACTACACATGAGACACCTCGAGGAAACCAAGTGCCGAAGCTCCGGAAAAGGTGGTCAGATATGAGAATCATACCTTCCCGTAAAGAACGAACGACGACTGATGATTCAAAAAAAAAGTTCACCGATCTCGACGCTCCGCGGAGCGACAAAGATAGCAAACCATGAGCCTGGTTGCTCGGCCGAATTAAGCAAGTTCGCCTCGGCTGACTACGTCTATCTCTATCTACTGACTCTCGCCCTCCGTTCTCTCTTTCTCCCTCCCTCTCTCTCTCTCTCTCTCTCTCTATCTCCCTCTCCCTCTTTCAGGCAAAGGCACCTCGTGAGGATTGACTGCGCTGGGCTGAGCCCGCATTCGACAGTTCAGGCGAGAGTGAGCTTCTCCCGTCTCTCATCCCCCTACAAGACCGAAAGAGGAAAAGAAATAAGGATGAGAGCGGGGAGTAGTGGGAGCAGAGGTAGTCGCATCGGAGGACAACGCCTGCTGCTGCTGGGCTGGCCGGGCCTGTTGTAGGATAAGGGTGCGTGCGGAGAAGGTGGTGTGGTGTGGTGGGGGAGTTGAATAGATGGTGAAAGAGACAAGGGATGGAAATGGAAGGATTGAAGAACGAGGCAGGGCGAGAAATAGGAAAGGGAGGGGGCGGTCCCGTCCCGGGAGGGAGGGAGGGAAGAAGAGAGGGCGATGATTGATGGGAGGGATGCGATGCGATGGTCGAGGAGGAGAATTGATGGATGCCGATGCTGCATCCATCATCCGCGTCCATCATGATCATCATCAGCATCGGGCATCTCTTCTTCTCACTCACGCACAAGGATCTGTCCGGACCTGTCTGCCTTCCCGCGCGTCAGTGTCGGGCAGGGTCCGGGCAGCCCAGTTCCCGAGGCAAGACCGCCGCGTCACCGGAATCAGGGCCATAGACCCATAGCCTTGCTACGAGGCCGGCTGGTGCTCGGGTAGAGGACAAAGGCCAGGGTTGGAAACCTAAGGATCTCACACTCTATATAGGGAAACTTCACTTGCGATAAGGCCCTGAAATCCGAACGTGGAAAAGGTGGGAGAAGAACGACAAGCCCCTCCTAAATTTAACAGCACTGCCCAAGTTCATGGAACAATCCTCACAACCGACAGGGTGTCCCAACCAAATAGAACCGAACGACGGGGGAGATCGGCTCGGCCGCCGCAAGTGTATGGGATCTCGGGTCACCCGAGGTCACCCGAATAGAACCCAAAGTCAATACCCATGCCACCCGGTTTGCCAAAAGCGGGTAGTGGCCCAAGTGACTAGGTTCCATCGGGTGTGCACCTTCACTTTTACCCGGTCAACCCGATGTATATATCTGGTCACTAATCTATCGGACCGACTTTGGATCCGCGAGTTTCGAGACGGCTGGCTCCAGCACTCCCTCCCTCCTTCCAATCCCTCCCATACGCCCATCCGGCGACCTCATTCCACCCCTTTTCCAGAGGCACGGCGTGTGTGTGTGATCTCTTCACATTAGAATAGAAGTAAAAAAGAATCGCAGCAAAGGCGAGAGTACGAGTTTCCACTTATGACCAACAGCACCTCCTCTGAACGGCCATCTCGGCCATCATCGAGTCGATTGTGGCTCATCTCGCTCTATATCAGGAGGACCTTACACGGGCACTCCCGATTTGATGATATTTTGTATCGTGAATGGTTGCAACTGGCTTCATATGGAATACTGGCTTTACACTGGTTTGAAAGTCACAGGTAAGCACGGCCTTTTTTTGGCGTCCATATGGAGCTTACGTGGATCTCCATGAGCTTTTTCAGGTTTTGATGCCCTTTTCAGTTTCTCTTTGTAAGGCCCTGTCAAGAGGAGAAGCCCCTCGCTGAAAAGTGAACCAATGAGCCAAGTGATCTGCTCCTTCCCAAAAGAACAATCCGTCGGACTAAGGGTTCACCAGGTTCGCTGAGGTGAAGTCTCTTTTACCGCGATGAATTGACGAGGTGAAGTGATTGGAAGCGTTGTAGACAAACTTTGAGGTTCTGCACGATGGTATCAGATTTCTCCAGCCACGCCCTCCATGTCTCGCACCGACCTCCAGCCAAGTTTTGAGTTCAGACCTGATGCGTCCAAGTGCTGGGGATTCAATTAGCAATGTGTCTAATAGTTTGGCTTGATCAGTCCCCTTGCGAGTGCGATTGCGTTGTCTTGATGCGTCTAACTTATCGATCCTGAAACTCTCCATTACTTTACCCCTTTTTCAGTTGGGAGAGTATGATCAAGCAAGCCAAGCACAGACAAAAAGGCAAATTGTAGTGGAAGTTCAGGGCCTGTCCGTCCCCACCCATGTGTCCTTCCAATGCTCTGTCTCTCTCTCTCTCTCTTTCCTTCTCTCTTCTGAGCTCCCTCATTCTCACCTTTGCTTAGATCAACAGGTCCCACAATCTTGTACATCAGCTATGGATTACCCTAGACAATTTCAGGCCAATGGACCTCAGAGGCGTTTCTTCCAGCCTTCGCATCTCCAGGTTACAAAGCGCACCGAGGAGGAATATAGAACAAACAAATTGGTACAGGAGAAGCCGGGGGGCTCCATCCTGTTCCTCAACCTTTTCCCTTGTATTTTCTACCTGGGTGGGGTTTCTCGCGTCGCTAGTTAAAGCGCCCGTCCATCCATCCATCCATCCCTCCAGTCAGTGACATGTTAGCAAGGGAAGGCGAAAAAGATACATGGGGGGAGAAAAAGAGGGACGGGGTGTACGTATGATTGCATCTGCCTGTACGTCAAAGATCGTCAAAGAAGGAGAAGACGGTGGAGAATGTAAAGAAAAGCCAAGCAAAAGAAGGGAAGGGCAGGGCAGAGCCCGTGATGGGCGTGGGCCGCAGCATCGAGGCGAAACTGACAAGGGAAAGTGGAAGGACTGAGACATGACTATAAATAGTCTTACTTCATCGGCGCGCGTGTCGCGAGAGTTGGTAAGGCCGCTGTTTCCGTCAGTGCTCCTTTTGGCAAAGAAACTCATCCCTACGACTACTACTACCACCACCAGTGTGCGCACTGGCCTGCTACTGTATCGAGTTTTCCAGGGCAGGTTCCATGATCGAACGAACTCCTTCGGCGGCTACGCCCAAGCTCTTCAAAGTCGCGGGGACTTGTAGTGACGGTGGTGGGCCTGAGCTTGTTTTCCAATCAGAGGACCCAGTACTGACCATGTTCATTAGATGCTGGTCTATAATGGTCGAGAGTTATCTGTACACATCGCGACGTTAGTCGGTTGTTTGCTGTGCCGAAGTCGGCTTGCGAAGATCGTTGTGAGAAAGAGAAGCTGAGTGACCTTCGGTGCGCGAATCCAATACGAGATAATAACCTTGCCGAGCCGGGCTCTAGGCTCTGGTTACCCTTTTGGTTCTCTGCTTGTACGGTTTGATGCGGTCTTCCCATCTTTTTGCTATTTACTTGGCTCCCGACCTTGACGAGCTTGTTTGTTTCTTGAAAGTGGAGGTACGAGTTTTAGCGTACCGCAGTGTGGGGAAGCATGTCTTGTTTACCCGGGGTACCCCTACTCCTAGAAAATCCTCCGGGTTTCATTCGTGTCAAACAACATTCGGGAGGTGGTTTTCTCCTACGAGAGAGTCCAGGATTTGGTTTCCTTTCCAGTTTCTGCTTATACCGGCGCTGGAACAGCAACATTGAGTTCACGTTTTCCCCGCCTAGCGGGACCCAACAAGAGCTTCCTCCCGGTGATTGCGAACGTTCTGTGAAGGGTTGGTCGTTTGGTTGCATCATCGTATTTTTGTCTTCCATCTTTCCGAACTGGAAATTGCCTCTGGAGGGAGCACTACCCACAGTTTCCCGTTATGTATATGTTGTAGAGAACAGGATCTGAAGTCTTCATGAAATTGACCACAGCTGAATCTTTGTGTTATGTATATCGTCCGCCTATGGTCTTTTGAACTTCGGTGTTTGTCTGCTTCTAGTAGTTTAGGTCCATCTTTGTTATAGAAAGGACAGCAAATGTTGATATGAAGAGAATTGTGCGGGAGAGGAACCATTTCCAGGATGCCATATCTAGAAAGAAACGGCTCTCAAGTCCCACGTATTGTCGTCAATAAAAAATCGACATTTATTCCACTTTAGGAATGTTTAATGTTTCCGTGTTCAACGTTCGATCAATTGCAACCTGCAACCAAACTTCGAGTAATTTGCAGTAAACTGCAGCTAATCGATAAGGCATGGGGGTACATGGATCTGGAGTACATACATATATATTGTCGATGTATGGATAAGCAAATTTATCCATAGACGACACAGAAACTCACGAAATATTATATATGTCCGCTTTTTGTAAATCCTAAAACGATTTCTAGTTACTCTTGATGAATTTATACATTCG